TACGTTTACTTTTTTCATAAACATTTTGGAAATATTATACAATCCCTTTCTGGTTATTATTAAGTAAGTATTCTAAGAAAAATACATTTAGCGTTTTACTTCACAAGTTTGATTGGCAGCAACATTTACAAAGTAACACTTTGATTGTAGTATTTCCTCTTTTTGTATGTAATGTTGCCAAAACAGCTGTAAAGTACAGTAACACATCTGTGTATAAAGCCTAAAATCATAGTGCATACATTTACAAGGGTGTAGTTCCAACTCCAGTCCAGCAGGGGGCAGTGAATGATTCCCTGGTTATTAATGGTCCGCCTGTCCTCCGCTCTTTCCCCACCTCTCTGTCTCACGCTCCGGCGGAAGCAACACAGTCACTGTTTTCCGTAGTCATCGTTGACAAACGCTAGCTGTAAACGGCGAGTAGTGAATTGCACAAAGACAGCCGTTTTTTCTCTTTGTTTAACCATTATCTGAACCAAAAATGCCTCAGGAAAATCTGGAGGAAGAGGGTCTGCCCAAGAACCCCGATCTGAGGATAGCACAGCTGAAGTTTCTGCTCACAATGGACGGGCACAAACAGGACGTTAAAGTGAAGACCGAGCTCATGGACGCTATCACAGCTAACAGTGAGTTAGCATTTCACTGAGTGACTTGTAACGGTAGCAGTAATAGTCTGGTTGTCATTATAAACATGGTGCTGGTGGTATTAATGATCATTTACTCGCATACACGGGGTGCTTAGTTGCTCATACATTATTATACATATGTTTTAATGTATTCCAACTAAACACAAACAAACAGCTCAACCAAATTAGCATGTTAGCTTGACACTATTAGCAAACGTCAGCTAGCCGACAAGCCATCAGACAGGGTTGAGTAAGATTTTGAGTACATTCCTTTGTTTTTTACAAGGCATTTATTTGTAGAAAATAACAGAACCTTGTTTATTTTATTGAAATCTGTAGTGTTTTTCTGTTTAAAACCTTACTGGGTCGTAAATATATTCATATTGAACTATTTGTATACTATCATATTTACATATGTTTCTGCAACTGTAGTATATTATATATTTCTGTTGCTGTAGTATATTTCTCTCTGTATAGAACATTCAAATGTTTATTCTTTGTGGTATGTCTTTTCTACTGTAAATATGTATATATTGGCCGTTTTGTATTCAAACTTTTCAATATCTTAATGCCTGAACACAACAACTATTCATAATTGGGGATGAATAAATTATCTCTCTGTCTATATGAGAAGCAAAAGCTTTTAGTTACATTTTTAAAACTGAGAGCTGTCCCAGTCCACAGGTAAAAACGACTCTTGTTTTCTCTCTGTTTCAGACATGGCACCGTATTATGAGGGTCTGTGTAAGGATCTGAAGTGGCCCGTGGACGGTGACCTGCTGAGTAAAATGAAGAAGGCCAACGAGGAGGAGCTGAAGCGCCTGGACGATGTCCTGGAGGACGCAGAGAAGAGCCTGGGAGAGAGCGAGATCCGAGACGCCATGATGGCCAGAGCTGAATATCTGATCAGAATCGGAGACAAGGTAAATCCTCCCTATTCAGCATAATGTCCTGTAAAGCTGTGAACATTCAAACCAGCCAAATGTGGGTTGTATGTTATGGTAAGTTGATTCTCTGTGTGACTGTCTGACACCTGAGCAGATATCATTGCTGTGTCATATAAACACATCTTTATTTAAGTTAGCTGTAGACAACCTATTTTGTTTTCTGACATAGTGTCAAGTAGTCAGACTCAAATAATGTAAGAGGGTCTATGTTGTTTTCCTTTCTTTCAAAATCAAATTTGTGTCAGTCAATAATGAATAGAAATCTCACCATGAAAAACATGCACTGAAACTTCACTTCAAAAAACCTTTTTTACTTCAGGGTGCACACTTGTTCATTGTTGATATGTGTGCTATTTGGTTTTTAAAATAATGATAAGTGTACCTTTTCCAGGAAAATATGACTCACTGATGTCCTTCCTGCCTGCCATTGACTTAAAGCTCGTTTATTGTTCATCTTTGGCCAGATGGATGTAATAACATAAAATGCATAGTAGCTGATTTATTGACAATGCCTTTCTGTCTCGTGCGTCCACAGGAGGGCGCTCTCACAGCCTTCAGGAAGACTTATGACAAGACAGTGGCTCTGGGTCACAGACTAGATATCGTCTTCTACCTGCTGAGGATCGGACTCTTCTACATGGATAGCGACCTCATCACGCGCAACTCAGAGAAAGCCAAGAGGTAAAGGCTCTTACGTCTTTGTTCTCAAACATCTCTCCACCCACAGCCTGTTATACTTTCAGTCCTCATCTCTCTGTGCGCCTGCTTCTCTCCGCAGCCTTATCGAGGAGGGGGGTGACTGGGACCGGAGGAACCGCCTGAAGGTCTACCAGGGTCTGTACTGTGTGGCCATCAGGGACTTCAAGCAAGCTGCAGAGCTCTTCCTCGACACAGTCTCCACCTTCACCTCCTACGAGCTCATGGACTACAAGACCTTCGTCACCTACACAGTCTACGTGTGCATGATCGCCCTGAAAAGGCCTGACCTCCGTGAAAAGGTAGGAGAACTCAGCCATCGAGGACGTTTTGTGTCATGCTTTCACCCAGGTCGTGGGTGAAACTAAAACATGTTATTTGTATAGGTCATAAAGGGGGCAGAGATCTTGGAGGTGCTGCACGGTCTGCCTAACATACGCCAGTATCTTTTCTCCATGTACGAGTGCCGTTACTCCGTCTTCTTCCAGTCTCTGGGTAAGGAAAGCTTTTTATTTTCTTGTCCTAATAAGCAAACACTTAATCTGGTCACTTGTAGAGTTATTTAGCTGTTTAGCACTCGAGTAATTTCATATATTGATAGGTCAGAGTAACATTTAACTTGCATCCATGTGTTGCTGTATTATTTATTTCCTGCTCTGTCACATCCTGACCTGTGACCTCTTTGATCCTCAGGCACGGTGGAGCAGGAGATGAAGAAGGACTGGCTCTTTGCACCCCACTACCGCTACTATGTGAGGGAGATGAGGATCCAGGCGTACAGCCAGCTGCTCGAGTCCTACCGCTCCCTCACCCTGGGCTACATGGCCGAGGCCTTCGGAGTCAGCACAGAGTTCATCGACCAGTGAGTGCATGTACACCTTGTTCTGTTGGAGATAAATAATGTATCTTCAACGCTGGAGCCTCTGCACAAATCCTAGCTGTAGTTTTTACCTCAGTTTAAGAGCACATGTGTATACCTCGGCCTGAGAATCTCAAGTGATGCTTTGTTTTAGATGAATCAACATAGTAATCATTTCATTAACAAAGACGAGGACTATTTTTGTGAACAACCTTTTTTCAATGACAGACAACATGGCGCTTCTTTAAAGCTATCTGTGACCGCATTGTTGTTTTTAAAAAAAGACTAGTTTAAAACTTGACTGGTGGCAGAGGCTGTCCTACAAGATAAATGTTCACACGCTCGCGATCAGTTGCCGACCACCTGAGTTAATAGAAAGTGTTGTTTTTTGCCAAAAAACAGAGGGAATGAAGTTAATCTGGTTACTATAAAGACTATTATGTCTTAACCCTTAGATGCACGAGTGGGTCAAAAGGGACCCGTATTAGAATAATGTGTTTTTATGCCATTTTGGTTAAGAAAAATCACTTGTATTATATTTTGGTTCACACTAGAAACATTTTATATTTAATCTTTCACTATTTAAAATTTTAGAAAAAAAATGAAATTCCATAGAAAATGCATGTGGGAAAACCCCCTCAAAAAAGACCCATTTATGCATCTAATGGTTAAGCTTGTGTTCACTATAACTGTACCAATTAATTATTTGAAAGAAAAAGTGAATAAGCACATTTCCCAAACTATTTATTTTTGAAGCTTCATGTTATCAAAGATTTTGTGGTTGCTCCCTGAACTAAATCTCTTCTCTTTCTTCAGGGAACTCTCTCGATTCATAGCTGCCGGCCGTCTCCACTGTAAAATTGATAAAGTGAATGAGATTGTGGAAACCAATAGGTAATGTAACTATTCTCCAAACTTCAGTACTGGAAGAAATGACTCGGTAACCAGATGCAGAACTGTAAAATCTCTTCCCGCTTTCTTTCTAGACCTGATAGCAAAAACTGGCAGTACCAAGAAACCATCAAGAAGGGCGACCTGCTGCTGAACAGAGTCCAGAAGTTGTCGAGAGTCATCAACATGTAACCAACGCGGCCTCTTTGTCTGCAAGGGGAACTTGCATTATTCATCTTGGGATACCCGAACCAGTAGTTTGTCTGACAAAGTGACTCTTATATTGTGTATATAATAAAATTTGTTTAACTGTTGACACCGCATTTCCTTGACTGTTTTTATTATAGAAAAGAGGCAGACACATCGTTTCATATAAATAGCAGTATAAATTATTTTATTTACAGAAACTTGTTACAAAACAAATATACTATACAATCTTTTTTTCTTTAAATATTAATTCTAACCTATGTTTGTTCATGAATTACATAGCAGCCAATACATAAGTCCAGCTGAAAATGATTTTGATGTATACAAAAAAAATCTATACACGCTTTTACAAAGTATGAATGGTGGATTATTTCTTCCTCCCAAACACGAGCTGTATTCTCACTTTCACATTCCAAGTCTATGGTGCTAATAAAAAAAACATCCTCACGATGTTCCCATCTGCTGGAAACACTGAGATGTCAGTGGAGTTTGAGGATTAAAAAAAACACTTGATTGAATGTTTTTTTACATAGAAATCCCAGTAAAACTAGAGGGGGCTTAAGCCACACGGGGGCTGACAAAATCTTGAAGTCTTGTCTGGAAAACTTTGATAACCCCCCCCACAAAAACACACTAAAAAGTGTTTCATACTGGGCAGCTGACAAGCTCAGGTTTTACCATTATTTAGGCCTCAGAGGCAGATTTAAAAGCAAAGTCCTTAACACTTCGAACATTCAAGTAAGGTAAAACAACACAAAGAATACTGTCCTCAAACAGTCAGGGTGAAACAAATTCAGGCACTTTCTTAATTTGATATTTCTTTTAAAAGCTGTGATTCAAATTACTTGTTTGGCAACGATGATGCAAGCAGTCAGACTTTGAAGTGTTCCTCTTCCTTGCGATGATTGCTAAAGTCCCTTCAGCCTTTATAAAAGAACATGTGTTTAAGGTCTACAAAGTGTGTGACTGAAGAGTCCATGGAAACCGGTGAGACAACGGGCACGGCTTCAAGTCCGCGGGACGTTTCAAAATCACAGGCTAATTGGGTCATAAAGTAACTTTTTTTGTGTTGATTCATAGGCAACGTAAAACGTCTTGTAAAAGCACGTGTGATAGAGACCTTGAACTTGAATAAAGGTATCCTCCGTCGTACAGACACATGCTACAGTGGCAACACTTCACCTTTGTTCCTTTAAACATCTCAGTACACGATTCATGAGATGCTTCGGCTTCTACATATAGGCGTATTGCATTATATAGACTTGGCAGTGAACCACTTCAAATAATCAAGTTCTTTGACTTTTTCCATCTTTTCTTTTTTACTAAATAAATAATTCCTTTTGTATTTCATGTTTTGAAAATTGTACCAAAAATTCAGCATGTACGAAAAATGCCTGTGCAAAAATACATATTTCACTATGTACAATTTAACAAAATATGTATTCTCAAATAGGGATACTTCAATACTTGTTTGATACATAGGCTACAAGAAAGAAAAAAAAAAGGCTAAAATAAGAATATTAAAAAATGTCTCCTCTACTTTTCGACACTGACATCAGTGGAGGTTTCATAAATCAAAAGGTGTTGCCAAAAGTTAAAATATGTCCCGTGAAGCCATCTCCATGAATCTCGCACTTAACACCCCTCGAGAATACTCGTAATAAACAAACATCCCGACGAGATGGGCAAGTATTGCCTGATTTAAGACTCCATTTTGACAAAGGAATAGAGTATAATGCCTGGTTATCCGTTCTACTACCACTAGTCTTTCCTCGACACACACCAACATAGTGTTACGCTGAGGCATTAGAACTGTAACATCCAGAGCGTGGGTAGTGGTTACACACAGGAGGGACAGTCCAACCCACAGAAGACAGGTGACGTGCATAAAGTTTGCTCCAGTTAAGACGTACCATACCTGATTCCCTATGTAGGAAAAATAAACATTACAATTCACATCTGCCCACAACAGCTGTGGATTCCACTGGGCTGAATGGGTATAAAGTAGGTAAGTTGTGGCAATAACAATACGGCTTGCACAAGTTGTATCATATCCACGCAGGCAATGCACCATCACCGCTTCATGATCAAGAATTGCCCACCTTTTTGTAAAAAAAAAAAAAAAAAAAGAAGTAGTTGGCAAAGCTGATAGCAGATTTTGGCCAGTTTGTGTACGACTAAGCAATGCCTGTGGAGAGAAAGTAGTTTCTTAGTGCTTTTCACAGTTGGGGGTAGGTGTACTGTGTGGCGATCATTTTTGCACAATGAAAAGATTCGGAAAATGATGTCCAAGTTATCTCTCACAAAAGATTCGATCGAATGGGCACATCAGGCGTCCTTTTCACATTTGAAACTGCCTTCACCACGTCTACAAAGACTCTTTGTAGTTCAGTGTAAAAAGCTCATAAGAAATCATAAAAAGGTAACACTTTGCATAATTATTCTGGGTAATAAAAGGATTGACCAGATCGTCCCTATAGGCTCCTCTCGGGCTAACCCAAAGTTACTGGAACGTAGAGTCGGACTAAGGAGAAGTGGAACAACACAGGGTGATTGTGTGTTGCAAGAAACGGTTTGCTGCTGCTCCTCCTTCCAAGGCTTCTGAGATCAGGCGCTGGGGGTGAAATTAAGTTGGAAATTCCAGTAGTCCAGCAGAATCTGACATGAGACAAATACTTGTACGCACATTCGCACAGCCATTCTTTAACTGACGCGGAGGAGATGGGCTTGTTGTCTCCCCCAGGTGCTCAGCGTCATGGCGGCTTGTCGCTGCAGCCCTTCACTTCAACCCAATGAAGCTCAAGAGACTCATGGCTGTTGCTATTGTTCCTCTAGACAGGAAGACCTCTCAGAATACTGGGACACTTGTGAGGGGGGGGGGCAGGGTCCCTGGCTCGCTCATTAGACCCCTGGCACTCTACGCCGTACCATCGCGCCCATATCCCTCCCAACATTCACGCACACTTGCACACACACTCACACATGGCTTTGGGAGAAATAGTAAGGACCACATTGACTTCACTAGGCAGTCCAGATCATCTCCACCCTGAGGATTGTGGGAAGCTGAGAGAAATGTGGGTTTTGATTAAAAGGCCTCGTGCCGTCCAGAGCGGTTTGCGGAAAGCTCCGGACTGTTCCCCGTCCGCCTGCCGGTTCCACACAACGAAGCCGGAGACCGCTGTCAGGGACGAGCCTTTGGCTGGGGAGGAGGGAGAGAACAGTGTCAAAGTGGGTGTCAAATATCCGCCTTCAAAAAAGTTCTCTGCTAGAAATTAACTTTAACACTCAAAATAAATAATTACTGGTCTGCAGTGGTGCAATCCAACATTTGTATGTCAATGGCAGACAGAGTTATTCTAGAGATACAATAACTTCATTAAACAAAAGGTGTACAAAATATAAGTACATAGTGTGTTTGTTTGCTAGCAACCAAAGGAAAACAAACTGCTTTAGTGACTTTAAAGGACAATAGTAAGATGTTGCTTTCAAAATGTCTGCTATGAAAACCTATGATGTGTTCATTATGACACATTTGTCCGCCTGTGTGCGATCTATATTATTAAATAATCCTTTGATATTTTCTTATTCATTACTTTTTTAATTAAAAAAATATTCTATGAAATGAGAAAAATGTTCCTAACAGGTTACCAAAGTACACAATTATTAATAAAATGATATTAAAAAGGGAAGAAGAAAAGTTATTTTTGGCTTTTGTAATATCAGGTAGGTTTAGGAGCAGTTGAAATGTGTCATTTAGTGCCCTTGGTATTACAAAGCATCCTGGTTGTTGTAGTATGAAAAACCCACCTGAAAATGGTTGTTGGGTAGCCCTGGTGTCCCTGGAATGCTCCGCCCATGCTTCCCATGGATGTTGTTGATGGCAGGTGACTTGGCCACTTTGGTTCTCCCTGGTCCAGGTCCCCCTCCTGCCACCCCACCTCCCCCTCCCCCTGCACTATTAATGCCGCTGGAGGCAGGAGAGCTTTTGCGCTTCTTGCCCTCGAGGCGCCCGTCAGAGTGGTGGCTGAAGTTGGTGTGGTGGTCAGAGGAGGATAGAGACGGGTGGTGGACAAAGGGCCCGAGGGACAGGGTGGAGTCGCTGCTGTTCATCACCACGCTCATGCGCTTGATGGACTCTGCAGGGCTGCCCGAGGGGGGGCCTCTCGCCGGCGGCCCCGAGGAGCCGCCCGCTGACCCTCCTGTGGACTCGGCCTTGAGGCTGAGTGAGTTGGTCCGCACCGTGGGGCCACAGTTGAGCCCCACGCTGTGGACACCGGTGTGGGAGGAAGATAACAACGAGGAGGATGAAGGACCTAATGAGCCGTGGTGGTAGGTGCTCCCTGAGCTGCCGACATTTGCACAGTTCTTCTTGAAAGACGAGGAAAAGTTGGCATTGGAGGAGGAGTCAGAAGGGACGTGGGACGAAGAGAGAATCGCACTGTTCTTCCTCTTCTTCCCCGAGCTGAAGCTAGTGTTGCTACTGTTACTGTTGGCTCCACTGAGGGAGTTGGGGGAGAGGGGGGTGGAGGGGCCAGAGGAGATGTCTCTGGGCCTGAACGATGACGACGACTTGGTAGTGCTGCTGCTGGAGGAGGAGGAGCGGGACTTAAGCGCCCGGCCTGAGGCGAGGGAAGGAGCTGACGAAGAGGAGGACGAGTGGGCTGAAGGCATCTGAGGCGACGAAGACACTTGTCGGGCCTGCGTAATGCCGTAGGCCGGGTGCTCAGCCCCGCCCTGTGGGGAGCTGCGGGCATTTAAGGTGGTCCCATAGGAGAGCACGGACTTGCCCTCGTACGATTGGCTATAAGGAGTCTGGGGCAGGGTGGCAGGGGGGCCCAGGAAGCCTGAAGAAGGGGTGCTACTGTGGGAATTTGTGCTTGTCCTATGTGAAGGTACAACAGAGGAGGAGGAGTTCTCCAAGGCCAAGGGGATTTTCCTGCAACAAGGAATTACATCAACTTTTAGCTATAACTGTAAAAGTCAATATTGAGACCAGGAATGGCCAAGGAGAACAGTGATCATGTGTGTGGGCTCTAATCAAATCTGAGCTGGACACACTTACTTCCACATCTGAGAGTTGACGTGCTTGTCCATCATTGAGGTGAGCGCACATCGCACTCTGTCCAATCTCCTGTCAAAGGAGTAGCAGCCTCTCCCAAACAGTCGACTTCCAAATGTACAGAACTGTGAACAGAGGGAGAAACCGTATGAGAATATATCAGATTTTAACTGCAGGTTATCAAGTCCAAAAGAAATTAAGCTAACAATATAATTACAAAACTAACAGTCGTCTTCATGTCTTCCTCTTTAACAGTGCATTTTAAGAGGTGCTAGATTGTTTACTCAATATTATCATGCATGATTTCTCAACAGGATATCAATAGATGTATTTTTGAAACATTTGTTATTCCAATGACCTCCATCATTTTGCTTAACATTACAGTTGTGTTTACATGCTTGTTTTTAAGATGTCAACAACATTTTCTTCCACATGATGCCAGAATAAACAGTGGGTTTTTTCCCTACCATTATACGACTTGCAAAAATGTGTAAAGAGCCCTGGAGATCATTCTATTAATAGCTTTGCAGGGCTCGAAAGTAACGGTTGCCAGGTTGCCATTGGCAACCATTCAGAAAAAATGCCAACCACTTCTTGGCCTTTGGTTGCCATCAGTGGCAACCAGTTTTTAACATAAGGACAGCAAACAGCAAAATGTGCACCCCAAAATAGATAAATGTTAATTATTTGTTGTATCAAGAGTGATATTTAATTATTGTTGTGACCAGTCGGAACCTGATACTTAAGTTGCACGTGCATTGGTGTGATTACGGAGCCAGACAGCGATGCACGCTTACTCGCGTGCGCAGGGTTATGGCTAGAAAGGATCCGTCTAGTGTAAATATGAGGTCACGTTGTCGTAATTCTCGTTGTAATCGGAGAGGCTCGGAAACACATCTACAGAAGTAACATGCAACATACACATTAATGCAGCAGCAATATTAATAGAGAAACATCACACATAATAGTGAAACACTGAAAGGGAACATTGTATTGCACCAGGAGCTATCTTGGGACTTTTACTGCGACAACATTGACTTGCCTGTGAATAAAAAATAAACCATAGTGTTGGTGATCCCTCAAGGGTAACGAGATCCTGCGATCTTTGAACAGCAAGACCCGCTTAACACCCCCATTTTCAACAATCACACTCCCTGTAATTGACATAATTAATAGATGGTTTAGCTTCTCACCATCATTTGCAGTGGCCCACTGATGTTAGTTAACGATCGTAACTGAAAGGCTGCCTGCCAAACGTAAACATTCAGCCACGTGACTTGCAAACTCTCGCGAGTTTTACACAAGACGGATCCTTTCTAGCCATAACCCGTGCGCAGTGCGTTTGTTTTACAAAAAATGGAGACGCAAATTAAGTTATTTGACGGTGGGGTAAAACGTTCGGCCAACATCTCAAACGAATGTTCAAAGTGATTCAACTGATAAAGCGCAAGGTGAACCCGAACCAAAAGCAAAGAGGAAATGTGTAAAGTCTTGGGAGGCGAAATATGTACATTACATTCTGCTAAGTTGTGCTTTCACTTCCGGTAAAAGTTCCTTCAAAATAAGAGTCCCGATCTTATTACTACCAAAATAAAAGTGCGAAACGAAACTTTACCATAGAAACATATTGGCATAAAAATATAATCACTTCTCTAAAAAGGTAACACATTAAAATATAGAGAGACATATTAAAGGCAATTTACAGCATTAATAATTAATATCTAATTCTTAACTGTGAATGGTTTTCATTTATTTAACATTATAAATGTAATAGTCTGGCCAATCCAAGGCTTCAATGCTGAAGGGCCAGTGGATCTATGGTGGGGGTCAGCACAAAGGTCAAGAAAACCCACATTTGAAAGGGAGACAACGGATGACCAAGAAACTAGTGACTTGCTCAATTCATTTGTGGGGGATCTGTGAAGAACATGACAACAGCTGCACTACTGGTATTTCGTATACCAGCAATTGAGGTTGGACAAGTTT